ACTTTGTTTCTTTTCTGATATATTATTAGTTCTTGAAATGGTATCTGAACCATAGTATGTACTCAATAAATATTTTTAAATACTTGCATGATAAGTTAACCATATGTGTTTTAAGTCCAGAAGCACAATATTGGGAAGGAGTTGCAAGATTGTGAATGGAAAGAGAAAGAAGAGAGATGAGTTCATGGCTAGGAAGAGGAACCCTGGGGGGAAAACAGAAATATCTAGGGTTTCTGCTGTCCTGGAGCATGATGAACCTTTTTCTCCGTCTTTCATGAAGTAATCAGTAAAAATGTCCCTGCTTTGTAGAATTGGGTTTATCTTTGGGGGATATGTCAAAATCCTGGGCATGATAGTGTGGAGCAAGACTTAGGTTACTCCTCAGAGACCTGTCAGATGCAGGCACACATATAACAGTGCTTCATATATATGAAGGCATATTAGAGGAAGTTAGAGTTTTGGCTTCTGTACACTGGAAATGAGAGTAAAAAACATCTGCCAGGAAATGAGATAATAACATCTGCTAGGAAATGAGAATATCTGTCCTTTTCTGATCTTGTTGGTCAGATATACCTTTTTTTTTCAGATGATAGAATAAAAGTGTTTCTGTAACTGTCAAATTATACATAAAAATAACAGAAGTAAACTGAAAATTGTATGAAATTATTTCCTTTATCAAGAACGGGACTCCCTGGTGGCACAGTAGTTGAGAGCTGGGCTGCGAAGCGCCGGTTCAATCACCGGCCACCAGCGAGGGTCCCACATGGCACACAGACCTCTCCTGCCACGCCCACTGCTCCCCTCAGCAGTTTATTTCATCACTCTGCCTCTTCTGTTCCCCGCTCTGGCTCTGGTGAATTCTCTCACCGTCCCGCACTTCTGACTGTACCCAGTGCTTGTATAAATAAATAAATAAATCTTAAAAAAAAGAATGTTCATTCACTCATTCAGCCATTTGTTGGTTATCTTCTAAATCTCTGGCACTGTTCTAGATGATAAGGATACAAAGATGAACCAGGGTGTTATTTCCCTAGAGAAGGAAGTAGTTAGCTACTGCCTATATAATTGAGTATAGCTTCTTAGCATGGCTTTCTTATCAAGCTGCCCCCCACCCACTCTCATTTTACCTCCCACATTTCCTTATATAAAATATTTTCAGAGCAGTCACATAAAGGTGCACTTTTATCCTTTCTGCCTTTGTACTGTTACACCAGTCCAGAATCCACTCACTGAACAAACATGTATTGGACTCTTTCCTTGTCCTAGGTATGGTGCTGGGTATCGGGAACATGGTGATGAACAAGACAATTTCTGTACTCAATGATCTTAGTCTAAGAGTGGAGAAACAGCTTTCCCCTCTTTACCTGGTAAAATTCTTCTTTCTTTAAGGTCCAGGTGAATATTCTGGATGCTAGATCCTTATCAGATATATGATTTAAAAATATTTTGTTCTATTCTGTGGGATGTCTTTTCACTTTACTGGTAGTGTCCGAATGATAGTGTCTTTTCGTCTATTGACAGACACTTAAATTATTTCGTTATTGTGGTGATTGTATAATGTTACAGTGAACTTGGGAATATAGTTATCTCTTTGAGATAGTGATTTTATTTCCTTTGGATAAACACCCAGAAGTGGGATGGCTGAATCATATGGTAGTTCTGTTTTCAATTTCTTGAGAAACCTCTGTATTGTTTTCCAGAGTGGCTGTGCCAATTTATATCCCCACCAACAGTGCCAAGCGGTTGTCTTCATCCTCTCCAACTATTTATATTTTTTTAAAGATTTATTTATTTATGCGTACAAGAGCTGGGGTACAGGCCAGAGGTGTGCAGGGTGAGAGGATTCACCAGAGACAAAGTGGGGAACAGAACAGGCACACTGACTGAAATACACTGCTGAGGGGAGCAGCGGGCGAGACAGGAGAGGTCTGCTACACCATGTGGGTTGCTCCCTGGCCGGCGGGAGATTGAACTTGCTGCAGAGGCTGAGGATTGCTTCATAGGTTGTGTCTTAACCCCTTGCGCCACCAGGGAGGCCCCGACTCTTTATATATATATATATATTTTTTTTTTTTACATTAGCCATCCTAACAGGTGTGATGTGATACCTCATTGTGGTTTTGATTTGCATTTCCTTGTTCATTAGTGATGTTGAGCATCTTTTTGTGTACCTGTTGGCCATATATATATCTTCTTTGGAAAAATGTCTATTCAGATCTACCCATTTTTAATAGGATGGTTTGTATTTTGCTATTGAGTTATGTGAGTCCTTTATATATTTTGGCTATTAACCCCTTATCAGATACATGGTTTGCAAATGTTTTCTCCCATTCAGTAGATTGCTTTTTCATTTTGATGATTTCCTTTGCTATGCAAAAGTCCCACCTGTATATTTTGTTTTTGTCACCCTTTAAAATATTTTCTGGTGGTTGATCTAGGGCTTACTATATACATCTTAACTTAGAAAAATCTACTTCAGAGCTTTTTATTTTTTAGCTACTGCTTTTTAATAATAACATAGCCCCTTACATATATACAGTGCTTGCCGTGCTTTCATAACCAGTCTTATGTGCTGCTTACAACAGCAATATGAATTAAGAAGGCCATAGATTTCTAGTCTCATTTTATAGATTACAAAATAGAATCAATGATGTGAAGTGATTGTGCAGAGTCACAGAGATGGATGATGGCAGAATCAGAACTACAACTCAGGTTATATTCATTCATTCAAATACTAGTTCATTTGTCAAGCGTATTTGTTGCGCTCCTGCTATTGAACTTAGCATGGAAGAAAGATGCCCTGGCAATGCACAGAATATTAAAAAAATTATTGCCATTATATTGAGCAGTTACTTTGTACCAGTCTTGGAAATTTGCCAGGGAGAGAAAGGACTATGATATAAAATGGCATGACAATTATAGTATGTTTGAAAGAGCAAGAGTGATTTGGAAGGAAGGAAGGTTGAGGAGGGGCAGTGTATGTGGATGAAAGATATTTGCAAACCAGATGCCAGACAAGGTATTAAGAACCAAAACACTTAACTTGTATAACTGAACAATAACAACAAAATGCGACTGAGAAAAAAGGGGCAGAGGATCTAAATTCACATTTCACCAAAGAAGACATACTGATTGCCAGCCACATGAAAAGATGTTCAGCATCACTTATCATCACAGAGATGCTATCAAAACTACAATGAGATTTCATCTCACACTGGTTAGAATAGCTATTATAAAAACACCAAGAAATAATAAGTGTTGGCATGGATGTGGAGATAGAGACCTTTGTGCACCTTTGAGAGGAATCTAAATTGGTGCACTCACTTTGGACAACAGTATAGAGGGTCCTTAGAAAATTGAAAATAAAACTACCATGTGATCCTACTATTCCACTTGTGGGTACTTACATGAAGAATGTGAAAACACTAATTTGAAAAGATATGTTTGTCTGTGTTCACTGCAGCACTATTCTCAATGGCCAAGATATGGAAACAACCCAAGTGCCTGATGACTGATGAATGGATTAAGATGATGTGGTACACAATGGAGTACTACTCAGTCTTAAACAAAATTAAAAGATTAAAAAGTATGCAAAAGATGCCATTTTCAACAACATGGATGGACCTTGAGGAAATTAGGCTAAGTGAAATAAGTCAAAGTAAAAAGACAAAGGCTGTTTGATTTTCTACAGTTGATTACATTCCACATTTATGGAAAGTAAATAAAAGCAAAATCATTCAAACAATAGAGACTAAAACCAAAACAAACCCTTAGACTCTGACCAGAGGGAAAGGAGGGGAGGGAACAGCTTGGTGATGGATGGTGACTGGATATTTCATGGTGGGTATGACATGAAATATATGTTGCTGAAGTAAGAAACTGTATGCCTGAAGCCTACAGAGTGCTGTAAACTAATGTTACCTCAATAAAAAAGAAAAAAAGAGACCCCACAGAAAGCCCACTTCCACAATGTGAGATCATACTAAAGAGCTAGGATTTTATATTATGGACTGTGAAAGGACTAAAACCTCTGGGCAGAACACTGCATGGTTTAGGAAGATCATTCCGATGGCAACCTTTTCAAGGAATTAAAGTGATTCTAGTGCTCCAAGTTAGAGCTGGTGGAGACCTGAACTGCTGCAATGGCAGAAGTGATGAAAGGAAGTAACATCTCCAAGTCTTCACAGGCCAAGATTTTGCTCTCTGGGTGGCTGAGCTCTTCTGATCTTCTCCTTTCGCTTTTACTAACATGATGGGGCCTAGTCTGGCCTGGAGCTGCACATCATCTAGACCAGATCCTTAAGCCTGAGGTCTCAACTTATCTGAAGTTCCTTTTGTGCAAGCAGATGAAAGGTGAAAGAAACCATTAGCAGCTTTCTGTCTACCAAACTTCAATAATTCTCATTTTTGAAAAAGAGTTAAAAAATGTTACCCTTTACCATGCTTTAGAGGCCTTAGCCTACCTTTCTAGTCTCATTTTCCACCACCCCTCTATTCTCCAATACTGATCAGTTATTGTGACTAGTTATTCTCCAACCTGACTAGTTATTCTTCCTAAATTTACTCAGTTCCTCCCTCACCTCCCCCAACTATGCCTTTATTTAAGCTGTTCTCTCTTTTCTGTCTGTGCATGGTCACACCTGACCCATCCGTAAGTCCCACCCCCAGCACCGGATTCCCGATTCTCTTAGTTTTTAGTTGGCGGGGCGGGGGGAAGCACAAACTCATAGATTTGAATTATGTCTCTTGCCAGTTGTTTTGCTTACTATTCTCACTAAGCATGCTTCCTAGTCCAAAATGAGAAGAACATCTATCTCATAAAATCTAGGTGACTATTAAATGATAAATGCAAGTTAGAGAATTTTAAAAATGAAACCATCTGTAAAAGCTACAACAGTAAATCACAACATAGCATTTTAAATTGTATATTTCTTCCAATTATTAGGATATCCTATCTGGTATTATTCTTATTTGTAAATGTTTTATCTTCCCAAATAAATAATCAGCTCCTTGAGAGGGAGGCTGTCTTAGTCATTTTGTATCTTCTAAAGTATATGGCATTAAACTTGGCTTGTGGAAGCTACTGACAAATGTTTACTGAATGAATAAATAAATGATGAGAGATATAGAGAACACTGAGGGGGTTCACTTTGTTTTTGTTTATTGTTTTCCCAACATCTAAAACCTCTTCCTCTGTGTGAATCTCATTGGAGACAGGGTCCTACTTCCCTCCAAAGAACCTAAAGATACCAAAGTTGGGGCCTCCCTGGTGGTGCAGGGGTTAAGACACAACCTATGAAGCAATCTGCAGCCACTGCAGCACAAGTTCAATCCCCGGGCAGGGAGCAACCCACATGGCGTAGCAGACCTCTCCTGACTCACCCGCTGCTCCCCTCAGCAGTGTACTTCCGTCAATCTGCCTGTTCTGTTCCCCACTCTGTCTCTGGTGAATCCTCTCACCCCCCACACCTCTGGCCTGTACCCCAGCTCTTGTGTGCATAAATCATAAATCTTAAAAAAAAAAGATACCTAAAGTTTTCCTTTGTTTCCTCTGGTAGCTAAGGCAAAAGAAATATGATGGAGGCTTAGTCATTGAATGCTCCCACCAGGACTTTGAATTTTGAAAAAAACGAGGTGAAGACACAGGGGAAGGAATACAATTCATTTAAGATGGCAGATTAGTGGTTCCTGCTGTGGCATCCTAAGCCAGACCATTCCTGTGTATGACTTTGGCTGTGATCCCTGATTCTATTTTCTGAGATTGATTAGCTGACCTTGTAGATACCATGGAGATGAAGCTATCACAACCAGAGCTCACTGATGATCTTCCAGCAGTTTTCAGAGAAGTCAGACTGCATGGGGTTGAAGAGTGAGAGATGAGAGAGCAGAAGCAAAGGGGATAGGTTACTTTTCCAGGAGTTTTGCAAAGTAGAGGAAATAATAATGCCTTATACATAAGTAAGAAATTTATTAATATTATTATCAATTGATAACTCCTTGTTCCCATATTATTTGGATTTTATAATTCTACCTTTTTTCTAGTTACTTCATTCTAACTCTATTATACCAGTGTCCTTTCCCAAATCTGACACACCTGGAAGTTTTGGATGTTGTGTCTTTTGGTTGTGGATGACTTGTTTTATTGGTTATGTCTTTTGAATGCCTTGAGTGATTCTGTCTTTGGAGGATGGGTTATAGACATCTTCTCCCCTCACCCCAACTCCATGATCTTTTTTCCACAAAGATAGATAAGCATTTGCTTCTTGGATCAGTTCAGCAAAGTTTGCAAATTCTTCAGTTCTTAGCAAGCACAGTACTCTATCTAACCTCTTTGCCTCCTGTGCCCCAAACACTTGGTTGGCAGGTTTGGGAGAAGAAAGCAGCTGCCACTCCAAATTTTCTGGGATGTTTCATCCCAGTTGGGGAACTGATTTTGCTGTAAGCTGAGATCCTCCTTTGCCAGCCCCCATCAGTTCAGCTCTGTTTTCAGTGGGGGCTGGAGAATAATTAACACCGCCGTCCACCTGTGCACAGGAAGATGCCTACAGCCACACCAGCAATGATGAAACAGCCCAGCAGGACGCCCAGGACCAGTGAAGTGTAGGAGCGGCCTGTTTGACTTCCTGCAGAAGATGGAGAGAGTGAGGCTAAAGAGCATGGTCCCAAGGTGTTTAAGGTTTGGGTAAAACCCCAAGGAATTTCTGCCCCAATTTCTGCCCCAGCCCTGGGCTTCCTGTTGTTCAAAGTATTCCTCCTTCAGGTCCATCCTTTTGCCTAGAACACACGCAACACACAAAACCAGCTTCAGCCCCATCATACCTTTCGTGGTTTTCGTGGTGATGTATTCCTGCACGTACTGCACACAGGTGTCCTGCAGGAATTCCTGCAGTTCGTACCGAGTACGGTTGTAGGTGTTGAGCTGCTGTAGGGTGTAGGTGGCCACTTTGGAAGGTGGTTTGGATCCTGCCACCCACAAGGCTGTCTCTGGCTGGAAACTCACAAAAGAACTCCCATTCACAGCCACTTCGAAGAAGACATGGGCTTTAGAGCCCTCGGGAGGCAACTCACAGCCCAGGAAGCAGCGAACGGTCAGAGGAACTGTGGATAGGAGAGTCAGGGTCAGAGGGCTGTGTGGAAAGGGAACTAAGTGTGGGGTATGCCCACCAAGGGGAAGAGATTGTGGAGGGGGTGTGGGGAAGGTCTTGGGTTACACTGTTGGAGGCTGTGAAGAGGAGTCAGGGATGATGAAGAAATGGGAGGCCTGTGAAAGAAAGGAGTTGGAGGCTCTGAGAGAAAAGTGTGGAGCTATAAGGGAAGTAGCTTCTGTGAAGAGAGATGGTTGAGTTGAGGGTAAAGTGCTGGAGTGGAGAGAGGAAAGGGGATCTGTAAGGGAAAAGAGTTGGAAAACTGAAATGAGGGATGGGGAGACTTCAATGAATTTTTGGGGGTCAGGGTGAATCAGTCATACGGTCTTCTAGGGTCTACCTAAAGGCCACACCAGCAGGAAGAGGGCTTGACTGAGGACCAGTTAACTAGGACATCTAAGAACTGCTTCTCTCCACCCTAGAACCCTGAAGCCACTGAAATGTTGAGCAGTCAGCTGACCCTGCTTCATGCTCACCATGCCACGCCCATCCACAGACCCACCATTCCTTGAACCAGGTCCATCCATAAAGCCCTGCCCTCTTCCCTATAGCCCCACCCCACAGCCCTGTCCCCTGCACCACAACTCACAGGCCAAGCTCCGCTCTTGGTGCACCAGCCTCACAAGGCCTGAAAATTGCTGCAGGTAGAGGCGTAGGCCGCGCTCCATGATGGCCCAGCTTTCAGGGTCCTGCAGGGGCTGTAGCTGGAGGATGGTGACATTGTTGTCTGGGCCTTCCAGCGTGTGTGTGGGAAGGCCCCCCAGCGTCGCGTTGCCCTGATGCCACACTTGATAGGGGTTGCGGAAGTAGGACTTCTGGATCATGTGGAAGTTCCATTGGCCTGGGGGTAGAGTCAGCGCGTTGGGCTCTGGCCAGCGTGGGAGGGTCGGTGTGTACCAACCACAGATAATAACCCCTTACCTGGAGGCCAGCCGCCCACCTTCTTGGCCCTTTATAAACTATAAAGTGTCCTCCCACCCTCCCTTCCGTTTGACTCTCACAGTAACTGTGCCAGGAGGGCAACACAGGGATTATTATCTTTGTTTTACAGATGAGGAGACTGAGGCAGGAAGAGCAGAAGCCACTTGCCCCAAGGTAATACAGACAGTGGTCTCCTTTCTCTCTCTCACCCCTCCCTCCCCCATTTCTGGTTGGCCAGCAAATCCTGACCCAGAGTAAAACCCCCATCCCATCTTCTGTTCTCTGTATCTGCCAAGACCTCACTTCAGCCGCATCTGTTCTCATCTGCACAGGGGAAGTAACTTCCTTCCTCAGCCCCTTACCCTCATATTTCAGCTTCACCCCTTCTAATCTTCCCTCTAACTGACCAGGAGTAAGATTGTGTCCTTTGCTGCCTAAAGTGTTCCAGTGAAACACTTCCCTATCAATAATAATAATAATAATAATAAAATAGCTGATTGATATTACATACTTATTATGACCTGGTCACTGAACTTCTTACACATTATTAGCTTGTGTGTGCCTTCCTGCCAGTAGCTCAATGCAGTAACTACTATTATTAACCCCAGCTTATAAGGGAAACAAACTAAAATGGTATGGCAGAGTCCAGGTTAGAATGCAGGCAGACCAAGTTCAGCGCTCTTAGCCACTCAGCTATACTGTCTCCCCATTGGCTGTCTGTCCACACAATCAAGTGAAGGTCTTTAGCCTAACATTCCAGTTGCCAGGGACTAGGCCCTGCTGCTTTTTTAGCTCTTCCCTATGCTCACATTTATCAAACTACTGGAACTCCAGCTGCTTTTTGACTGACTTGTGACTAGTATGACAGGATTGCTCTGCCTCCTGGCAAACTTCTACTCATGCTTCAAGACCCAGTTCAATTGCCCTCTCCTAATAGAAGTTTTCCTGATGCCTCTCCTCTTTACCCTCCCAGACACAGTGGATCTGTTTCAATAAGCTCAGCTACTTCTTCACTCTTTCCAAATACACAGGCTACACTGGACTCCTCTAGGTGACTGAACCATGTCTGGTTATTGCTGTCTCCTATATCCATAGGGGCTGCCACGGAGTTGGTGTCCTGAGAATGTTCAAGGAGGGAATGCATCTGGGGTTGTAAGTTGGTGTGTGTGTGTGTGTGTATGTATATGTGTGGCCCACTTTTGCGTTTGAGAAGTCAAGTTCTGCATCTGCAGGTGTGAATAAGTATATCTATTGGTAACCTTTAACAAGGGTCTTAACTGCTCTGTGTCCTGGTCTCCTTCTCTGTAAAATGGAGATACTATTATCCTCCTTGTGGGGTTTAAGTAAGTAAATTGATGGTTTAAACACAGTGAGTACCCACAGAGACCTGGTTATTATTTGAGGGGGAGACTGAAGCTAGAGAGATGTGGGAGAGTAGAGAACAAGCCCCTGTATAATTACCCCCTTTTCTGCTTAAATGGAGTCCTTTCAGGCACCTGATTACCCAAGAGTTCTTCCACAGACCACAGCTTCTCCACCCCTGACCCCTGCAGAGAGGGGAGGAGGGCATTCTGCCTCACTGTCTATCCTGGTCTGCCTTCACCTTGTCTACACTCCCCTTCTGCCTCACACATCTCAGCCCCAGGCTTTCCCCCGAAAGTCTTCCATCCATTCTACCAATGTCTTCCCATTCCTTCCAGCTGTCATCTCATCTCTGAGTCTCTTCCATCTTTACTAAACTCACTCACTCCACCCTCAACTCAGACCTTACCCCCTCTCGCCCTCTCCCAGAGCCTAATTTCCTCACCCTTTCTACTTGTCCCCTTTCCATTCTGCCAGGTCTGTATCCCTCCAGCCTCTTCCATCTCCCCCCTACCTATAAGCTGAACTGTGTTCTTCCTCGCCTTGACTTTGGGACACAAACCAGTCCCCAGGACCCTGCCAGCCCTATGGAGAGACCAGCCGAAGCAGACACAGACACTGGGAGAGGCTCTCCTCTGATCTCACGCATGTCCCCAAACTGGCAGAGTCTCCAGTACCATCCCAAGGCGGGACATGTGCCCCGGACTCACCATCTGAGGCTTCCTGGCTACATCGGGCCCAGCCAGGCAGGAGCAGTAAAAACAGCAGTGGCAGCAATGTCGTCAACATCCTGGGGTTAGGTTCTTGACCCCACCTGGACCTGGCAAGCTGGGGGGCTCCCGCTGGCTGCAGCCTAGGGGAAAGCGAAGTGAGAACTGCCTTGGGAGGGGAGGAGGCTGATCCGAGTAGGCTGGAAAGTGGCCAGTGGGGTGGGAGGAGAAAGAAGGCAGCAGACTTATAAAGTGTTATTCCTACCCTGTCTCATTTCCTATTAGGGGGCCGGCCTCCCTCTTGCCCTCCCTCTGCCCCGCCCTGCATTGCGCCCTCCTGCCCAGACCTGCCTTTTCCCTTTACCCAGGACAGCTTCCGAGGAACAGGGAGCGGAAAAGGGGGAGAAGGGCCTGGAGAGAAGCCCTGCCCTCTCTGAGTCAGGGGGTGGGGCATCTACTTTTAACTTAGAGCTGATTGTGGGATGTAGGATCAGCAGGTTACTGGTGGGGAAACTGAGGTCCGAAGAGGTGCAGGATTTACTTAACCTTTGTACATCGATGTAGTGACAGATCTGGGATAAGGATTCAGTGTTCCAACTTGGCCACATCTGTTCAGAATTTTAGGCATGTGTAATCACACAATTAAAATTCTTACTCTCAGAAATAGTCACAGAATGAGTATAAAGCAGCTTCTGCAGCATTGTTTGTAATAGGAGAGAATCAACAATCTAATTCTCGACAGAGGATTGGTTATATAAAGCAATGTTTTTTAAACTGAGGTCACATAGTAGAAAAAAACAACAATTTAGCAGTCATGATGGGTAGGTTTTTATTTGTTTGTTTGTTTGTTTAATGAAATAGAACAGAATAAAAAAGTGTTAGTGCACCACCATTAACAAGGCAAACAATTTCATGTAATACTGTTCAGTTGTATAAGTGTGAGTTTTGGCTTTGTATGTGCTTGTTTTGAATAACAGCGTAAAATGTATTCTTACTCTATGAAGAAGGTAGAAAAGTGTGAAAATCACTACCCTAAACTACAATAAATCATACTGTTATAGCTTTAAAAAAAGCCCTCCTCTGCCAATATCCCCCCTATTTTCATCATATTAGTTAGCATTCCCTAAAATTATTTATTCATTTACATAATAATTGGTTGTCCCACCAGACTGTAAGCTCCCTGAGGAGAGAACTCCATCTTGGTTCTTTACTGTGCCTAGAATAGTGTATGTAATAAATAAAATATATAATAAATAAATAAATGTCAGCTGAATGGATGGTTGAACGAGATTAGTTATGATATGCATAGATCTCCAGGACTAAATCACAGAACATTATGTACAGTTTAGAACCAGTATTTGTCAACCACACATGACAACTAAATAACCTGGAAAGATTTACATCAAATATAGCAGTGAGTTAGCTCCAGGGAGGGGCCTGAGATTAAGTGTGTATGTAAGTGTCTTTGTGCATTAGGGGTGGTGATCTTGTGGAAGGTTCTATCCTTCTATTTTATGAAGGGCTTTATCACTCTATTGTATTGCTCAAAAATTGATCATATATCTCTTGTTGAATTAAAAATAAAAATTTAAGTAATAAACTGTGGTAGAAAAGGATCATTGTGAGAGGATGTATTGACATGAGACATTGATTGTCCATCTATTTTTAGTTAAAATTTTTTATTTCTGTCCAAATAATACATATATAATTCCACTCTCAAATTTAAAAAAAAAAAAACAACCTTTATGTGTGCGTCTGTGTATTTTTTAGATACATAGGGAAAATGTTTGGAAGGGTACTGCTAATAGAGATTACCTCTGGGGGTTGGGATTAGAGAAAGGGCTGAGGGGGAATTTTTACTATTTTATACACTGTTGCTTGGAGGGAGAGTTGGTGTCACAGTGGGCAAACCTTGGACACCTGCCAAGTTCCCAGTCTGCTAACTGAACTGAATACATGAAAGAGTGTCCATGCTCACCTCTCAGTTGACGCAAACTAGCTTAGAAATAACATCAGTGTCCTTTTCCAGCTCAGTAATTTAGTTTGGAAGAATGGGGCCTTGATTTCCTGTACTGGGGGAGGGGGGTGAAAATGGAAGCTCTAAATCACCACCGATTATATTGTCTTGCCTTTTATAAAAAATATTATGAATTATTTCATGCTGGAAGAATTTTGTTGCAAACATACATGACCCCACCACCCAGCATAAGAAATAAAATACTGCCAATATAAACCGTGTGTACTCCCCTTAACTGTGTCTCTCTCCCCACCCCACCACCAAAGTAATCACTAACTGAAATTTGCTATTTTTCATTTCCTTACTTTTCTATATACGTATACTTCAAATGCATATATCTCAAAGCTTTGTATAGTGGTGGTTTGCATATTTTGGACTTTATGTGGTATCGAAGTGTGCATATTCCTCTGCAGCTTGCTTTTTTCACCATATTAACAAATGGCTAAGGTTATTAACATTTTAATAATATTCACCCATGTTGCTATATGTAGGTCCACTAAGTCCCACTCCTTTCTAATATTCCATCTTATGAATATGCCACCGTTTATTCATTCCCCTGTGGTTAGACATTGAAATTTTTACCCAGCTTTTTGCTGTTGCATGAACATACTTATACATGTTTTCTTGTGCATATGTAGGAGAATTTTTGTAGGTGTGAATCTGGGAGAGGAATTGCTGAGTCATTGGGTATATTGCACCTTCAATTTTACTATCTATTGCCAAACAATTTTACAAAAAGTATGGGCCAATTTAAATTCCCAGCAGAGTTACCTTGCTCTGCATCCCTGCCAACCCTTGGCACTGGTTTTACTTTGCTTTATCTGACTCCTAGTGAGTTTGAGTCTTTTTGCTTTGCCGTTTTTCCCTTAAGGGCTTGGAGAGTGACATGGACGGAGAGCAATAAAGTGTGACTGAGCCCATTAGGAAGAATTGAGTGCTGTCATCTTCCATCTAAGCAGGTAGGGCCTGGGTCACTGGAGTTAAAGTGGATCTACAACACCATACACAGAGCTGATTGCAGTGAGGTCTACCAAGCTACTGTCTGTCATGGACGGAGGTGGCAGCTGCAGTGACTGTCTCCCAAGCACCCTTCTCACACACCAGCACCCTGAGCATTAATAGCAGAGACAATAATTATTATCATAGCTAACATTTAATGTAGCTAAGAGGAGTGTTAAGCTCCTTACATAAATAATCTCACTTGCCTTGCCAGTCCTACAAGTTGGGTTTCATCAACATCATTTTACTAATAAGAAACTGAGGCTCTGAAAGGTTGACTTAACGGAGGTTACATAGCAAAAGCTAAAATTTGAACCCACATCTTTCTGATTCCAAAGCGTTTGAATTTACCACGTATTATCTCAAAAATTTGGGGGGATCTTTGTCCATCAATACATTTTTGAACACATGTTCCCAATATGCTTGAATATTTGTTATATATAGTATAAAACATGCCAAACATTCATAGCATGTGATAAGCCTGTATATTTATCACTTCCTCTGGGGCAGATACTACTAGGCTCATAGTTTCCATGATACAGATGAACTAAATAAAGCCCAGAGAAGTTTAGTAACTTGCCCAAGATCACACAGCTTGCAAGTGCTGAGTAGGGATTTGAATTCAAAGACAAAGAGTATGGAATTGGGTAAAGGGAGAGGGAAGAGAATATTGGGGGTAGGGAAACATGAGTGAGGACAAGTTGAGGGGATCCCAGCGCTGGGAGTAGGGATGAGAAGAGAAATGCTGTGGTAAGAGCCGAAGCCCATGCTCCATCTTTCCTGGGTAGCCCAGGGGCAGAAAACCACAAAGCAGAGTGGGCATAGGGCCAGCAATTGGGATTTGAATGAGATTTAAAGAATGAGGGTCCTGTTGAGCAAAGGGAAGTGAAGGAAGCTAGCGGTAGTGTTTCCCACTCCACAGAGCACATGCCGGGAAAGATAAGGGGAGACAGGAAGTGGAGCAGGAGCCAATGCTGGTGCAGCCGCAGTGGGTGAGGAAAGTCCTGCCAGGGGCTGGCAGTGTGCCCAGCTGGACTTGAGAGGCTGGGCTGCGGAAGATAGGCAGTTTAACCAGATAACCAGAGTGTGAGCCCTTCAGAGATCACCTCCCGCTTAGGGTTTGTAATAATAACGGTGACATGTACTGAAGGTTTTCAGTGTGTTACACCCCATATTATGTAAGCAGAATACATGTGTTTTATTCCCATTTAGTGTCCTATAAAAAGTGTGAAGAAACTGCAGTTATTCCTAGTTTACGGATGAGAACACAGAGGCACAGAACAGGGGACTGACCTGCACAAAGATACCCAAATCAAAGAGCCGGGACTCAACCCCAGGTGAGCTGAACTTTAGAGCAGTCTTTCTTATGTGTTAGACCCTCTTCCCAAGAGGGTAAATGAGATAACTCATACGTGGTGCCAGAACATAGTACGTATTCAGGAGGTGGACGAGATAAGAAGGGAACTTGGTTGTGGGGGCAGCAAACAGCTAATTCTGTAGCAGGAAGAAAGGAAGGTAGAGATTGAGTATGATTTCTTAACAGGGAGGTAAAGGAATAGATAGGAATGAACCTTAATCAGGATTTTTCCCTGTGTAGATGCTAACACACCCCAACTTGGGGACTATGAAAAGAAATCCCTTTAAAGTCAGCATGATTCTAGCTTTTTACCTGCCCAGCAAGTGATGGAAGCCTGCTATTTTGGGCTTGGCTGCTGCCTTTCTTTACAGCCTTATCTTTCTGTGTATTCCAGACTCAGCTAAATCTACTCCTCCCGGTGTCCTGAACACAGAGCACACAAATGTTATCTTTTCAGTTTCTTCATCTTGTCTTTAGATAAACAAGCCCCTAATTTTAAGATGGTCGACTTTACCAATCTTTCCCATTAGTTCATGTCTTGTTTAAGAAATGTTTTCCTACTCTGGGATCATGAAGATATTTTCCTGTTTGTTTAAACAAGTTTCATAGTTTCACCTTTCACCCCTAGGTGTATGGATGAAGTAGAGGTAAGATTAGTTTCTTTTGTGAAGATATCCAAATGTCCCAGAATCACCTAAGGAAAGCCTGCCCTTCCTTACTGATTTACAGTGACACCTCTGGTTAGTCAACATGGTTGTTCTGTTTTGGGGCCTTTTTCTCTCCCTGCACTAATGCCATGTGACCTCAGGGATATATATCAGGTGTCTCGTAGATAAAGTCTTCCTACTTTGTTCTTCAACAATGTCCTGGATATTTTTGT